GTTACTTACAGGATAATGAGTGACTGAAAGGCAGCTGCATCACCACAACAACTCCCTCAGTCTGGGTGACAACTTGGAAAAGCTGCTTTCAGGCAGCTCAGCAAACAGTCTTCTTCTCCCCCAGCAGCTGTTTAGCTCATCTGACCTCAGAAAGGGGTCCTGTGAGTTTCATGACTTTCTTTCCAATTTTTGCAATTTTTAAAAGATGTGTTTGTTTCTTTGTGTGTGTGCCTATGTCTATGTGTGTAAGTTTATGCACATGTATATTCATATGCATGCACAGAGGCTGAGGAGGGCACTGAATGTCCTCCTCTATCACTCTCTATTTATTTTGAGGCAAGTTTTCTTCCTGAATCAGGGGCTTGTATTTGCTCAGCTAGGCTGGAAGCCAGTGAGTCCCAACAACCTTCTGATCTCGACCCCCTACTCAGAGCTGGGCTTACAGGCTTACCCAGGAAGCCTCTCTTGCTATGTGAGTGCCAGGATTTGAACTCTGGACCTCATGGTTGCACAGCAAGAGCTCTCCAATCTGCTGATCTACCTCTCCAACCCCCAAGTTCTTAATTTGCTTGTGAGTTTTGTGCGTCTAGTCCTTACTTACCTGCAAGAGGGAATGTTTTTCCATCCAGATGAACTAACTATACAATACTCTCCCTTCAGTCTTCTAAGTGTAGGTCTGTGTAGCCATCAAAGTTAAAAACCTATTTTAAGGAAAGAACTTACAGCAGCTCATACCTTAGGATAAATGGGATTGGAAGGGATTAGGAAGTTGTTAGATTTTAAACATCTATGGAGTGCTGGGGATGTAGTCCAATGTTAGAGCATTTGTCTAACATGTATGAAGCAAGCCTGGGCTCAATTCTTAATACCACAAGAATCAAACCAAAACAAAAAAACTTTTAAGGGACCAGGTGTAGTGATGTATGCCTGTAATCACAGGGTTGGGGGGGGGGTAGACGAGAAATATCAGGCATTCAAATTTATCCTTGGCTATATAGTGAGTTTAAGGTCAGTCTGGGTTATATGAGACCCTGTCTCAAAAAACAAAAATCTTGTACTGAAAGCTCAAATGTTTACAATATGCTAGGAATTGTAGCCATAGCTGCTTCTTTCTGAGGCATGAGCATCTCTTGAGCCCATGAATTTGAGACCATCCTGGGAAACTGTACAGTCCAAGCTCCAATGCCAGGAAAGGAGGAGGGGTGGGGGAGGACAAGAGTGGAAGAGACTGTGAGGACCTGTGAGCAGATAAGACATATAGAACCATAAGCCAAAATAAACTTCCTTTCTTTCATACTTACTCAACTCATAGATGTTTCTTTCTTTCTTTTTTTTTCTCTGTGTAGCTTTGCGCCTCTCCTGGAACTCGCTTTGGAGACCAGGCTAACCTCGAACTCACAGAGATCCGCCTGGCTCTTCCTCCCGAGTGCTGGGATTAAAGGCGTGCGCCGCCACCGCCCGGCATTCGTAGATGTTTCTAATAATACGAAACCCGCTAAGGCACAGGCTTCTTCCATAATTACTTACTGCTTAATACCCTCTAGATTCAACTAACAAAAATAAAAATAAAGAAGTACCTGAAGACACAGCTCAGTGGTAGACGACCTGTCTAGCAAGAACAAGATCCTGAATTAGTGTCCAGCTCCATAAACATGCATACATTCCTACATATGTACACGCCTTACTATGAACACATACTAAGGACATGGAGTAAGTCATAGTGTTACACCCAATCCATTGTGTGCTAAGATTAAGGAGAGAGACAACATTATGGGTTCCAAAGACTTTAATAAATCACCATATAAGTAGAGTTGCTGATCGATCATGGCTGCAGGACAAGGACTGGGAGCCTTGCTTTTCTTGACAGCCCCGAGTAGGGACAGAAGCAGGGCAACAGTTTCCAAACATTCCATCCTGCCCAGAAGTTTCTTAACAGGAGAGGAAATAAAATAGCTTCAGGAAGTCCCTGAAACTGATCAGATTCACTAGGCCCCCCCCCCCTTGCTGCCAGAATAAGCAATGAAAGTTGAGATTGCCTCTCACAGAAAGGGAAGGTGAGCTGCAAAGACTTTCCACTAAGCTGCTCTGGGACCAGACCCGCTGCCTGCCTTTAAAGATGAAGAAACCAGCCAAGCTCCCTGGAAAGGTTTAGACCAACTGTGGCACCTGGAAAGGACACTCTCCAACCAGCTGAGCTGCCTGCAGGCTGTGCAGTGTGCTCCATGTTCCCAGCTTTGGGAGCTGTCACCCATGCTGGTCATTCCCTATCTGGGGCGAGTAGACATGTGTGTTGCATCTCCCTGTTGCTAAAGTTTTCCTGCCTGGCCCACAGTCAGGACAAATCTCTGACACCCGCCAGTCCCACAGCCATTCAGACCCGACCAAGTAAACACAGAGACTTATATTGGTTTCAAACTGTATGGCCGTGGCAGGCTTCTTGCTAACTGTTCTTACAGCTTAAATTAATCCATTTCTATTAATCTATACCTTGCCACGTGGCTTGTGGCTTACCGGTACTTTACATCTTCCTTGTCCTGATGGCGGCTGGCAGTGTCTCTCTCACCCAGCTTCCTGTTCTCTCAATTCTCCTCTCTGTTAGTCCCGCCTATACTTCCTGCCTGGCCACTGACCAATCAGTGATTTATTTATTGACCAATCAGCAACACATTTGACATACAGACCATCCCACAACACTTCCCCTTTTCTTTCCACCTAAAAACTGAGAAAAAAAGATTCTAAAATGGAGCTAAAAACAGCTTCCTAATTGTCTCTCTCAAATGAGCAGCAGCTGCCAGTTTGAGCTACTGGCGGGTTCCTAGCGTGCGTGCATGCTCGACCTACAGTATGGTGGGAATGAGGCCTCTGCAAGTGGCACATTAAGCTGTGTGGTGGATTTAGCCTTTGCTAGTACAAAACAAAACAAAAAAAAGAGGTTTCTGGGCTACACGCTGCTTTGAAAGAAGCATAGACCCACTATTTCTAAGAGTTGATGGCTCCCAGAGCTAGCGGAAAACGTATACCACCCCCATGTTGGGAAGCTGAAGTGGGCGGAGCCAGCAGTGCCGTTTCAGGCTTAGGAGGCTGCCGTTCGAAGCAATAGGCTAAAGCTAATATAAAAAAATAAGCCACGTAAAGATGGCTACCACACAGAGAATCTGGATTATGTTCTCTTTGATATTCGTAACTAAAAAAAAACATTTGATTACAAAAGCTGTTGAGTTATGCCAAAATGTATATTTTAAAGGTACCTTGACTTCAAAATTTGGATGTAAGGATATGTTGCTTTGGAAAGGAGGCTCTGCTTTTGTTTCCACAGAAAGCCAGAGGCTATGGATTTGTTCCAGATTAAGATACATCAGGTTTGACCAGCCAAGACCCCCTGAAAGGTCTCCGATGACACCATGGCCCAGATGATCCAACATCCAGAACCGTTTCAAGGCAAATGGCTCAGACGATACACACTCATGGACTACTCCATAATCCTAAAGTATTCTTTGTGTCCCCATAAGATACAGCGCCCCCCTCCAGCAGGAAGTAGTAAGAGAAGCTACGCCCAAATTCGCAAATATACCAAGCTGACTTTGGAGATGTGTAAAGGTTAAAACCTTCCTTTTAAGAAAAAAAAAGGGGGGAAGTGCTGTGGGATGGTCTGTATGTCAAATGTGTTTCTGATTGGTCAATGAATAAATCACTGATTAGTCAGTGGCCAGGCAGGAAGTATAGGCGGGACTAACAGAGAGGAGAATTGAGAGAACAGGAAGCTGGGTGAGAGAGACACTGCCAGCCGCCATCAGGACAAGGAAGATGTAAAGTACCGGTAAGCCACAAGCCACGTGGCAAGGTATAGATTAATAGAAATGGATTAATTTAAGTTGTAAGAACAGTTAGCAAGAAGCCTGCCACGGCCATACAGTTTGAAACCAATATAAGTCTCTGTGTTTACTTGGTCGGGTCTGAGCGGTTGTGGGACTGGCGGGTGTCAGAGATTTGTCCTGACTGTGGGCCAGGCAGGAAAACTCTAGCTACATCTCCCCAGGAAAAGTTTTGTCACACAACAGGGGGTGAGGTGGTGGAATTAGTAGGAAAGGATATGGAGTATGCTTCCGGAATCCTGATACTGCTCTTGCTCTGTCTTAATCTAGTAGAGATCACATCCTTTTTGTTTGTTTTTTCAAGAGAGGGTTTCTCCGTGTAACAGCTCTGACTGTCCTGGAATTCACTCTGTAGACCAGGCTGAGATCTGCCTGCTTCTTCCTCCCAAATGCTGGAATTAAAGGCATGTACCACCATCTCCCAGCTTCCTAGACTTAATTTTTCCACTGGAATTTCTTTCCTTTTCTTTTTGGGGTCTGGTATTATGGCTTTTTTTTTTTTTTTTTTTTTTTGGTTTTTCGAGACAGCATTTCTCTGTGTTGCTTTGGTGCCTGTCCTGGATCTCACTCTGTAGACCAGGCTGGCCTCGAACTCACACAGATCCATCTGGCTCTGCCTCCCAAGTGCTGGGATCAAAGGCATGCGCCACCACTGCCCGACTTGGACTACGGCTTTAAAGGATGTATTTCTCTTACAAAGTAAGATCTTAGGTGAATGGGCCTGTTGAAAGGCAGGTCTTGTAGTTATTCAGGAATCTGAATTTCTTCTATCATGTTATTCTAATGTCTGCCAGGTCCTTGTTGTTGGATGATTAGAATATGTTGCATTGGACTACAGATGGCAGATGAAAATAAGAGGTAATGTTTTAAGGTCTGAACCAGCATGCCATTTTGTCTCCAATTCCATCTTTGAGAACTAAATCACATGGCCAACAGCGGGTGAGATGGCTCAGCCATTAGCAGCATTTGAGGCTCTTGAAGTGGCACCCGTATTGGGTGGTTCATAACCGCTTTTAACTCCAGTTCCAGGGTCTTCTGACACCCTCTTCTGACCTCTGCTGGCAGCTACACACATGGTGCATATACACACAGGCAAACACACACACACACACACACACACACACACACACACACACACACACACACACGACCAGGCATGGTGCTGTACACCTATAATCCTAGCATTTAGGATTAGAGGCAGAGGCAGACGAATCTCTCTGACTTTGAAGTCAGCTTGAGCTACATAGTGAGTTCCAGGCCAGCCAAGACTATATTGTAAGACCCTGTCTCAGAAAATATAATTCCCCGAGTGCTGGGATTAAAGGCATGGGCAACCACACCCCGAAAGCAGCTCTTTTTTTGTCACTAGTTTTTGAGCATTGGCTGAAGGTGAAAATCGGGAGCTCCTTGATGGCAGAACGTCCTCCTAAATACCCTGACAGAGCATGCCAATGTTTACAAAGTGAAGTGCTTCATGTCGAGAGCGCTGTGACATTCTGACGAATACGCACTTACCCAATCAACTCGCAGAACACATTACGCTACCTGTCAGGGATGGATTTAAAAGGCAGAAAGATCCTACACTCTCAAGGAGAAGATGATGACGTAAGTCAGGGAACGCCGGGAGACGCCTTCACCCGCCCCCACCCGTGACGTACTTCCGGCGCGACGCTTTCCCTCCACGCCTGGACTGGGCTGTGGGGGAGGGAGGCGGTTAGTGGGCTTTAGCGCCTTTCCTGACGGCGGTAGATTTGAAGCGCTGTACAGGACTGGGCCCCGGAGACGAGAAGTCCGCGGCGGTGCAGGTGAGAGGCGTGAAGGCGTGTGTCGGCGTGGCGTCCTTCGCCGCGGTCCCCGGGTACGAGAGCGGGAAGGGCCCAGGGCGAGGGGCGGAGCCGCGGCGCCCGGCTGGGCCGAGGTAACCGTCTTTCCGCCGAGGTCTCCGGGCTGTTCGGGCGCGGAGGGGTGGCCCCGGGGACCGCGGCGCGGCCCGCGGCACCGTGGGGACCGGGACGGCTTGCAGTCGAGCCCCCGGGCGCAGGAAGCCGCTCTTCCTCTCCAGCCCCCGCCCTCCCCGCCCGGCGCACACCTCCTCCCTGACGCATTTTGCCGCACAGGCTGTAATATGGCGGCAGCGACGGCGGCCTCGGCTCCCGGGAACTAGGTTCGTTTTGGATGCTTCCAAACCGTGAGACCGAGCGCTGCTGCGCGGTAGGTGGGACGTTTGCTTGGGGAAGGAGGAGGCGCAGCGCGAGGGCCTGTCAGGTTAGGGTTAGGGAGGGACGGGCGCAGAGCCAGAATCACCAGGAATAAAATCGACGAGGAGCTCTCCTCCGCCGACCTTTTCCTCTGATAGGACAGCGGTTGTCGTGCATGCCTAAGTGACACAAGGCCCTTGATGTTAAGGCTTCTCCTAAAACTCAAGGGTGGGATCTTAACCTTAGCTCTCTAGAAGTTTTCCCACGTTCCTGGGCAGCTGGAAGCGGCCGGGCCTTTGGGGAGGAGGGTTCTGTTTAGAAGATGGTTTCTGAAGCCCGTTCGCCTTTAGGAGAAACGTACTGCTTTGGCCCGTATTTACTCTGATGTCGAACAAAGTCAACGTTAGCTGGCAACCACGTCTAACCGTTTTTGGAAAACCTTATAAAAGCACCACCTTGTGCACTCAACTTGCTTTCTTAGTACGGTACATTCCGTGCACTAAGAGGGTCTTTTTTGGTTTGGGTCACCAATACATTTAAGAAATAATAGAATATTTTGGAAATTTGGAGATTCCATATTAACTTTCAGAAGCTAAAACCAGAAAGGATAAAATATGCATGTTTGTGTCGTTGTCACCCCATGTATAAAGAATAATGACTAGTGATTGCTCTTTTGTAACAGTTACTGGAAGGTTCGACTAAACGTTTTGTAAGTTTTAAAAGACTGCCATAAAATTCAGAAATTGCACAGATATTTAGAATGGCTGCTGCTGCTTTCGTGTTTGTTTTTTTGGTTTTCTTTTTTTTTTACAAACCTGAAAGTTAACTTCTGATATAGTGTCACAACGCCCATAATTCCACATTCAAGACGAAAGGATCATTGTTCAAGGCCAACCTGAACAACTTGATGAGACTCTTATCTCAGACAAACAAAAGCATTTTCTTAGGGACTGAGGGACCCCACTCTTTAATTTTAATATGTGGGGTGTAATTATTCCTGTAAAAGTTTACATTCCTGTTTAATTGTTTAACAGTTTCTTTAAAGCTTCGTTGAATTGATTGGATTGTTGTGCTTGCTCCCTAGGTGCGTTGGGGTGAATGTGTATGTGTCTTTCACAAAAACTTATTTTTCTTTCTATAAGCCAAAATTTGAACCTTGAGGTTTGCAGGCAGTACTTTGTACTTAAATATTCAGAGAAAACTGCTATAATTGGAACTTGGAGTTTTACTGATAGGGAAAATCTTGTGCTTTGTTTTGCGTTGGTGACATTGTTAAGGCAAGTACTCTACCACTGAGCTATATGCCTAGCCCTTGCTCTCCACTTGTGTTTGTGTGTACGGATTCAAGACCTTACAGCTGTGAGGCAGCTGCTTCATCACTGGACCCCAAACGAACCCCTCGGTTTTCAGAATGCTTGTTAAGTTGTGTTTCTACAGCCAGTGGTTTGTATATATCAAAAACATTAAAGATAAAGGTACTGTTGGGAAGAACATAGTCCTTCCTGAAGAAATGTTGGCTTTTTTTTTTTACTTAATTCATCAGCAGTGCATGCATTCACAAATGTATACAAATGTTTTGAGTCAGTTCCTTTTCATTTCTTTTTTTTTTTTTTTTTTTTTTGGTTTTTCGAGACAGGGTTTCTCTGTGTAGCTTTGTGCCTCTCCTGGAACTCACTTGGTAGCCCAGGCTGGCCTCGAACTCACAGAGATCCGCCTGGCTCTGCCTCCCGAGTGCTGGGATTAAAGGCATGCGCCACCACCGCCCGGCTTCCTTTTCATTTCTTATTTGATTCATGTGAATACTTTTAAGAGTGAGCTAACGAAGTTAGTATGAATGTTACAATGCTTCCCTTGCAGGTAATTTTTTTTTAAGAAGGGATATATTTTTACCCAGTTATGGACATCTTAGTCCATGGTTGGCCTATTGCTTTTGGGCCTGTGACGAGGCGTTACATGTTGGGGAGCACACAGTAGAGCAAAATGTCTTCCTCTTGGAGTCCAGGAAACAGAGGGTGGAGGGGCTGTCCCAATAGTACCTTAAAGGACACCCCCCCCCCCGTTCCCCCCCCCCCCCAGTGACCCAACTTCATTCCATTAGTCCCCATCTCTAAAAGATCCATCATCTCCTTATACTCCCTATAGTCCTAAAGGCTGGCAACCAACCCTTTAACATATGGCCTGTGGAGGACAATTAATATCTAAACTTTGAGATAGTGTCTTCTAGACCTGACAGGGAAGATGAATGCAATCAATCAATCAATCTCCAGTATAGTTGTCAAAACAAGACCTGAATAATGACACCACCAATTGACATGTCAGTATGGATGGGGAAATTCCATAAGATCCTAACCTAAATGAAGAGTTACCAGCAATTGATGACTGCTGAGAGAGGGAGAGTAAGTTTTCTTCAGAGGTGAGCCCCAGTAGGTTATCTAATCCCAAATAGTCCTAAGACACATGCACGTATGAGCGACACTAAGTGCACTCAATAGGGTGTGTGTGTGTGTGTGTGTGTGTGTGTGTAAAACAATAATATAGAGGTCAAGACTTGAAAGGAATTTTGGGAAGACATGGAGAGGGAGGAGTAGAAATGATTTAAATATAGTACTTATGAATGGAATTCTTAAAAAATTTAAATTTTTTTTTTAAAAATATAAAAACTGTAACAAAGTTTTGCTTTTCTTTGTATTCAAAGCTTAGTCAGTCCTCCATGGAAGTAATCTTAGAAGTAATATAGAAGGTTGAAAAATGGTTCCACAGGTAAAAACTTCTTACCACCAAGTCTGAGGATCTGAGTTCCATCCCTGGAACCCACATAGTAGAAGGAGAAAACCAACTCCTTTAAGTTCTCTGATCTACACACATGTGCATGGCATATGCCCTCCCCCCACTAAATAAATGTAATAAAAATTTCAAAGTGATTTGGAAAACACAAAATAATGATACTTGTATTACTAGATGTTAATGTTTCTGAAAACTGCTTACCAATGTGGCACTACTCATCAGAGTATTGGCTTTATGTTTATATGCACATATTTTTCTTTTTTAGAATTTTTATGTGTGTATTGAGTGTTTTGCCTGCATGTGTGTGTGTGTGTGTGTGTGTGTGTGTGTGTGTGTGTGTGTGTGTGTCATGTGCACCTGGTGCCCCAGAAGAGTATGTCAGATCCCCTGGAACTCCAGATTTCCTGGAGTTATGGATGGTTATAACCACCATGTGGGTGCTGGGAGTTGAACCTGGTCCTTGGCAAGAGCAACAAGTGCCCCTAATGGCTGAGCCACCTCATTAGTCCCTGTACTAGTTTTCACAAATACCATAATTTATGCACTATAGATAACAAAATAAAGTCTTTTCTAAAGGTACTACAGTTAAAAAATTGTTCATTTTTTTTTTGGTGGAAGTTATTTTAAATTTTAAGTTTTAATTTTAAAACATTAAGAATTTCTAGATCATTACATTGATATACATGAATGAGATTTCATTTTTATGTATCCTACCACATTTAACATATTTCTCTTTTAGAATGTCAAAGGAAATAGTAGTTTTAAGTGTACTGGTTGTAAATACAATGTTTTATGCAGTTAAGGGCTTACAGATCATGTTAAAATCCTTTTTCCTTTTATTGGAATAAGGGGTATTTGCACTCCCACAATTGTATTTTCTTTGAAAATGAAATAGTGTGTTGTTGTTGTTGTTTATAAAGTGCCATAATTCAAAAAAAGCAAAGTACATACATAAAAAACAAAATCTTAAAGATCTGGAATACTTTTAATTAATTTAACTTACCTGAGTCCTGTAAGAAAATGGTTACCTGTCACAAACCTAGCAGATGCAGGGTGTGCTGTTGCCACCTTTAATCCCAGCAGAGGCCTGTGGAGCTCTAAGTTCTAGGCCAGCTCAAGTTCCAGGACAGCCAAGGCTTCATAAAGAGGTCCTGTCTCAAAACAACAATAAATAGTAAATTAAAAAGAAATAAGCCTAGTTGATAAGAACATAGTATCTTTCTTGCTGTCTAGGTAGGTTTTGAGCTGAAGAAGTGAAAAAGGAAAGAAATGGGAAAACAACAACAAAGCACTTGAATAGAAAGCATCCTAGTAGAAAGATGAAGGGAGTGGGCCCGATTTCAATAGCGGTACAGACTGATGGGATTATTAATGGTGGATTCTGGGAGAGTCAGTAATAGCAGTGCACCATATGAGGAGCATACACATAAGGAGATAACAGCACAGGTTATAATAGCACAAACTCTATTTGGGTGTTTTGGTACACATTTGTCTCCCTAGCAGTTAAGAGGTGGAGTTAAGCTGGGCAGTGGTGGCGCACGCCTTTAATCCCAGCACTTGGGAGGCAGAGGCAGGCGGATCTTTGTGAGTTCGAGGCCAGCCTGGTTTACAGAGTGAGATCCAGGAAAGGCGCAAAGCTACACAGAGAAACCCTGTCTCAAAAAAACCAAAAAAAAAAAAAAAAAAAGAAAGAAAGAAAATAAAAATGAAAGCAAAAAATAAAACTAAAACCCAACAACATAACACTAACTGCTTTCAGGCATATTTGCATTAACCAGCATTCTTCCTGTGCTTTGTGTAGAAGACAAAGTTGGCCGGGCGGTGGTGGCGCACGCCTTTAATCCCAGCACTCAGGAGGCAGAGCCAGGCGGATCTCTGTGAGTTCGAGGCCAGCCTGGGCTACCAAGTGAGTTCCAGGAGAGGCGCAAAGCTACACAGAGAAACCCTGTCTCGAAAAACCAAAAAAAAAAAAAAAAAAAAGAAGAAGACAAAGTTATAGCAGGGACTTGTGGCCAAGCATCTAATTTCAAGCACTTGAAAAACGGAGGCAGAAAGATTCTAAGTTCATGGCCTGCCTGGGCCACAGAGTGTGTTCAGGCCATCTTTGACAACTATGGGAGACCTTGTCTCAAAATTTTTAAGAAATAAAAACAACCCAAAAAGCCAGAAAGATTTTGAGTTGGTGGAATTTATAGACGAGTTTATAATTTTCACTGAGGAAGGACTGTTCAGCCCATAGAGTGAGTTCCCAGAGTACTGTAGCTGAACTGAATCTTAAGGGACATGTAACCAGAAGAATGAGAAAGTGCAAAGAAGCAAAGACTTGTTGGCATCTTAATCATTTTTAAAGAATCCACTATATTCCTTTAAGAGTTAAGACTCTGTAATGCTGACTCTGAAACTTCAGATAACTCTTTGAATGTGAGAAAGTCACTACATTATTTATTACCTAATTACAAATACTCTACTAATTAGTTGCCTATATACTTAAATCTTAAAGACCCATTAGGGTGGATATGGAAATCATTTTACATATGAAACTACAAAATGAACTTGTGACCACTCACTGATGTTTCCAAAATATATTTGAAGAAGTTTAGAATTTTATGTTTATAAATATTATTTATAAATATTATTTATTGTTGACATTCAAAGGATTAATAAACATTTTAAATAAAATTTTAATCATTTGCGTAGAAAGTAAAATGTAATACAAAGGTAACAGTTATAGTTAGGATTTTGCATGCATTTTTATAACTAGGTTATGTGTGTGTGAGCTTATTAACTTTATTTCTTATTTTAAAAGTATTTCCATGCCAAGCATCATAGTGCACTCTTGTAATCACAGTACTCAGGAGGCAGAAGCAGGATTGAAAGTTGAAGTTCAGCCTGAGCTACATTGGGTGACTCTGCCTCAAAAAAAATGTATCTCTAATATGAAAAGAAATAAATTCAGTATCACTCACATTTCTGAGAAAGTCAGATAGGTGAAGTGAGTTTCTAACACCAAGTAGATGATAAATGGTTACAGTTCATAAGCAATAATGGAAACAGGGTCAAACTCGAACCTGCATTTCATCTCATGGGAGCAGTATATGCTGGACGCTGTACAAAAATAGGACACTGTGCCAGGTGTGGGAATTAGTTTTCAGAAAACTCAAATCTGGCTTTATGACATTAGTTATAATTCATTCAAGCTAAGCAAATTCGTGGCAGATATTCACAAATAATTAATCACAAAAGATTTGATTATATTCTAAAACAATTGGTGACTAATTTTTTTCCTCCTGAAATGGGTCTTGCTATCGCTGATTTTAGACTGAAGACCCTCTGGAGTGCTGGGAACACAGGAGTGAATGACCATTTTCTTGAAATTTTTATGGGCTTAATTTTTCTTTTAAATTTTCTATATCTTAGTAGTATAATCTTAGTAATCTCCTTTTTCTTGAAAAAATGAGAAATTGATTAGATGTTTGTCTTACTGTTTCATACTTTAGGTATTATTAAGAAATATTTGAGAGTCATAAATACAGAGGAAACATATCCGATTTATAACTAGCAATTGTTAAGTCTCTAGTGATGATTAATAATAACATCTTAGTAATTTTACTTATTTTAAACATTATTATTTTATATGTGTGGGTGTTTAGCCTGCATGTATGTGTGCTCACCATTTATGTGCAGTGTCTAGAGGTCACAGAGGGCATTAGATCCCCTGGAACTGGAGTTAACAGGTGGTTATGAGCCACCATATGGGTGCTGGGACTCAAACTTGGGTTCTCTTGAAGAGCAGCTAAGTGATTTTTAACAGTTGTACCATCTTTCTGACCTCATTTAGTAACTCTAGAGACATAATATATAAGCCACCTTTCATGTCGCCATTGTTCATTAGGTTTGTTTTGAGATGGGATCTCTTGTTATGCAGCTCTGTGTCCTGCAAAACTCTTTGTAGACTCGAATTCACAGAGATCCACGTGCCTTTGCCACCTGAGTGCTGGAATTAAAGGTGTGGTAGCTTTTTTTTTAAAAAAAAGACAGACTATCACTCACTATGTTATCCTGATTTAGTGCCCCAGTGTTTGAGCTAAAGGGGTGTGCCATCATGCCTGTCCTTCAGTTATTTTTCTATAACTGGACGTGACTCTATTGTCACAATTAAAATTTTAAGCCAAGGTATGCAGGGGTATAACTCAGTGATAGAACACAAGTATCATGTGTAAGGCCCTGGGTTGAATATACCCAGCACCCCCCCCCCAAAAAAAAATACAAAACGGAAAGTCTTTTCACAGTGAAGAATATAGACCTTTCTGGGTGTTGCTTACCTTAACATGTCACAGGCTGTTTGCCAAGGCACCTTAGAAATTTAGTTATGATTATTTAAATAAAAGCATGTATATTTTACTCTCTTCTGAGCAGATGAAATGGTCGTTTTTGTAGTCTGTTAGTTCGGCTGTTATTCAGTACTTGCTGGCTTTGTTTCATCGGCTCTTCACCTTACTGTAGCATTCCCTACCAGGTATTATAATTGGACATTTTAAGTCCTTAAAATAAATGGTTTACAAAAAAAACCAAAAAGGTCAAGTAAAAGGTACCTGCTATGTAGATAAAGCTGTCTACATAGTATCTCACATTAGTATGTGCCTGTCATAGGCTGTTTCTCATGAGCAGAAGTTACCTCATATGTAAAATTTAATGTGCTTTTGATCAGAATTCTATCTACCATATATTAGTATCTTTAAAATACTACCCTTTCAGGTCAGGTGTATTGCTATACACCTGTCATTCCAGCACTCAGGAGACTGAGGCATACACCTGTCATCCCAGCACTCAGGAGACTGAGGCAGGAGGATTGCCATAAATTTGAGGCCAGCCAGAGCTACATAGTGAGACTTTGCCTCAGAAACAAAAACCTCTTCCTTTTCTTCATAGATGATTTATTTTGGTTTTGTTTGGAACTTTGAGTATTTTTCTCTACTATCTCACATTTTAATCAGAGCTCTCTGTTTTTTGTTTCCTAGGTGCAAAAGGATTGGCTCAGTTGCCCTTGGTGGGTTTTTGTTTTTTATTGTTTGTTTCCCCCAACTTAAAGGTAATGTTCATGTTCTGTTGACTAGTCATACATACTTAATATAGTTTTCTGTATGGGGTGGCAGTGTGGTTTTGATTGATAATATAGAAACTTATTATATGATAATTACTATGCTCTCTTCATTCCATACTAAAATTGGTATAATAGAGATTAGCGTGACTCCTGCCCAATAATTACTGTGCCTTAATCTTTTCTATTTTCTTTTCTATTTTCCTCAAAGTACAGTCTAATCTCTAAAAATCATAATGAGTTACCCCATGGAAACAAATGTAAAATAAATTCAAATAACATGTGTAGTTTATGTGCAGTAGAATTGGCTTTTAGTTATTAATAGAAAATCTTTGCCATTTTAGTCTGCTTGCCTAAAACTGTATCATATACACTCACAGACTGAAGTGTTGGAACCATGGGAATAAAGGTCCAGCGTCCTCGATGTTTTTTTGACATTGCCATTAATAATCAACCTGGTAAGAATATTAATGTTTCTAATTAACGGTTTTATAATAGCATTTAAAATTGTAATCAAGAAATTTAAACCAGTTACCTTCTTTTTCAGCTGGAAGAGTTGTCTTTGAATTATTTTCCGATGTATGTCCCAAAACATGTGAGAACTTTCGTTGTCTTTGTACAGGTTTGTTTGCATTTTCAATTGCCCTCATAATTCCTAGAAATATTAGATGTGATTCCTGCATGTGGGCTCACATGTAATGCCAAAACCCAGGCTCAGTCAACAGCATGAATTCAAGACCAGTTTGGGCCACATGCATGATGTGATTCGTACTCCTATAAACCCAGCCCTTGGGAAACTGAGATGGATTGTGAGTGTAATGCCAGGTTGAGTTACCATACTAAGACTTGGGTTCAGAAATCCAAGTTAATTCATCAATTAGAAAATAAATATTAGATGCAATAAGATTGTATCTGAGATTGATTTCTGTGTTCTCCAGAAAAATAGGGGCTTTTGCAGAACTTGAGTTTTTTCTTCTCATTGACCTATGAACGTTTCTTTCTCCAGGTGAAAAGGGGACAGGGAAATCAACTCAGAAGCCATTACATTACAAGAGCTGTCTCTTTCACAGAGTTGTCAAGGATTTTATGGTTCAGGGTGGTGACTTCAGTGAAGGTGAGACTTTTGAGTCCCACAAAAGAAAAGACATTTATATTTTTGTTACCATGGAGGTTTGGGGTGTTTTTTGTTGTGTGTGTTGAATGAGGAAGTGGAAATCGGAAGACATAAGAGTATCCTGTCCAATATGTGGTTTCTAAGAATCAAACTCAGGTTGTCATACTTGGAATTCTAAGTGTCCCTTTCTCACTAAAGCTATCTTGCCAGCCCATAAAGGGTTTGTTTTTAATGACTTCTTTATTATTTTTTAACTACATTTGTACATCTGGCGTGTGCACCTGAGTGCAAGTACCTGAAGAGGCCAAAGGTGTCAGATCTCCTGGAGCCAAAGTTATTAGACTGTTGTGAGCCACCTGACCTAGGAGCCGGGAACCGAACTCAGGGATTCTGTGAGAACAGTATGTGCTCTTAACTGCCAAGCCATTGTTTCAGCTCCATAAAGGAAGTTTTAGTCTGGTTTTCTTCTTGCTCCATTGAAGTCTTCGGTGAAGTTCATAGGAATACTCAACAGAAATACAGAAAAGATGAAAAAAGAGAAGAGAATTTCACCTCTTATTCCCAGTGCTAGGAAATAAGCCTGGGCCTTATACATGCTAGTTAGATGCTGCTGAGCTGGATCTCAGGACCAATTGCATCTTTCGTGAATTAATTTCACAGGTTTGCTTCTGGGTACAAAACAAAACATTGTAGTCTCTAAATCTGTCATCATATGAATTTGATTTTTGCACAGCTAGAAGTACTTTCCCCAGTTTTTTTCATTTTTATCTATGTTGCTTTTTGTAAAAATGTAAAAACTACATTATTTTTGAGGACACTTTGAAAAAGTGTCATTAATTCCTATTAAGAGGCTTGTATAGATAGTCATTTGACAGATCTTTTCCCCATAGATTTTTTTTTTTAAACATTGATTTATTGTGGGTGTTGGGATGTCATGGTGTGTGGAGGTTATAAAACAGTTTGCAGGGGAGAGTTTTCCTTCCACCATGTGGGTCCCACGGATTGAACTCTAGTTGTCAGGTAGGATGGCAGCAGACACCTCTACCCACTGAGCTGTCTCATGTCTTTCCCATGAATCTTAATAGGCTTGAGATTTTTTTTTTTTTTTTTTTTCTTTTTGAGACAGGGATTCTCTGTAGTGCTGGCTGTCCTGGAACTCACTCTGTAGACCGGGCTGTCCTCAAACTCAGAGATCCACCTGGCTCTGCCTCCTGAGTGCTGGGATTATTGGTGTGTGCTATCACTACCTGGTAACTTGTCGAATTCTTACTATAGTATCATAGGAGAAAGGTAATTTCGGATCTTGTTATTGACATTATATTATCTTAAAATTTGTTGTGCTCCTTTGAGTGTTATTGATTCGGAATCATTTGAGTACCTACTTGATGAGAAGTATTTAGATCCTGAGATCTAATAGTGATATTTTTCATTTCTAGGGAATGGAAGAGGAGGAGAATCTATTTATGGAGGATTCTTTGAAGGTAAAATTTTCACATCTAAATTGTTTTTAATATTTTTCACTCATATAAATTACAGTAGGTCTGGAACTTGAGTTTTCATACAACTATAAGCAGATAAATATAGAAATAACTTTTTAAAAAATATTTATTTTTATTTTATTTGCATTGGTGTTTGCCTGCATGTATGTCTGTATAAGAGTATTGGATACCCTGGAACAGGGTACAGAGTTACAGACAGTTGTGAGCTGCCATGTGGGTGCTGGGAATTGAACCTGGGTCCTCTTGCAGAACAGTCAGTGCTCTTAACCGCTGAGCCATCTCTCCAACCCCTAGAAATAACTTAATGGTTTTTATTTTTCACTTTTGGTATTCAGGAGAATATTGTATCAAATTTCACTTACTTTTTTTCTCATACTCTAATTAAAGATTGGAAGATAAGTTCTTTCCATTGGAGTAAATAATGCTATGGTGAAGGTCAAGTTATAATGAGTCCAAACTATGATGTTTATCTCTCCATGCTCACCAATGAGATGGATAAAATGTAAAGATGTTGCATCTGGACTCTTACTGGATTGCTGTTTAGTTTTAGTGCAGTGCTGGGATCAAATCCCAGGTCTTGTGCATGGTAGGCATGGAAATTTTAAGTACTTTAGACTCGGTGATACTTTAGACTTGATTACCATGCATGGGGCACTGAGTTCAGTCCTTTATGCAAGGGAGGAAAAATTAGTATTAAATCTAAAAAGACAGGGAAAAAATAGATTCATGATTGGTTCTCTCTTTCTTCATAACCTACTTTGTTGTTTGTGTTGTGTTTGACAGTAAAGAATACTTCCAACCAGGCATGGTAGCACTGATCTGTAATACCAGCACTGGGGAGGCTGAGGAAGGATTTGGAGGCCAACTTGGCTTAAATAACAAGACCCTGTCTCAATTAAACAAACAGGAACATTTCCATTGTGAGCAAGAGTGGAAAATGAATTTTTGTGAGTGTGATGTATGTGCTCATGTGTAGGCAAATAGGAGCATTTGCATATGTGTACAGACTAGAGGAAGACACCAGGTGCTCTGTCGTTCTCCCTTAGTCCTTTGAGACAGGGTCTGTCCCTGAACCTCAAGCTAAACTACCAGCCAGCAAGGCCCAGCAGTTCTCCTATTACTGCCGCCCACAAGGCTGAGGTTACAGGTGTGCAGTGGTCAACCTGGTTTTCTACATGGGTTGGGTCCTGGGATCTGAAGTTATTGGGTCCTCTTGTTTGCACAGCAAACCTCTTAACCACTTGAGCCATCCCGCCAGCCTTTAAAATAACTGTTTTGGAGCTTCTACTTCTAACATAACTGAAAATTTTTCTTCTCTTTAGATGAAAGTTTTGCTGTTAAACACAACAAAGAATTTCTTTTATCAATGGCCAACAGAGGGAAGGATACAAATGGCTCACAGTTCTTCATGTAAGTATTTAAGATCTAAACTACCCCTTCTAACCTTCCCCATGGCCCTTATAACAGAATGATTGTAAGATTATAAGAGGTGAAGCAAAGAATTACTGAGGGGGATATTAGAACAAGTTACTAGAGATCTCAGAAGATAGAACTTGCTGAGAAAGTAGGAGAGGTGACTTCAAGGCATTTCACTGTCAGAGGACAAACTGAGGTATCCATCCACCTTGAGCACCATCAAGCACTGTATCCAGCTTTCGTTTGGTTTTATTTTTTGAGACAGGGTTTCTCTATAGTGCTGGCTGTCCTGGAACTCTCGCTGTAGACCAGGCTGGCCTAGAACTCACAGAGATCCACCTGCCTCTGCTTCCCAAGTGCTGGGATCAAAGGTATGCCCTACCACCCAGCTGTACTCAGTTTCTTATGTCAGTGCTAGGGATCAAACTCATGTTTGTATGTCAAGGACTTTATCTAGCTGTGAGCGATTTTTGTACCACCATGTCTCTGGTACAAAACCACGTACTAGGCTTCTAACTAGATTGTTTTAAGTTTGACTTTGGGAATAAAAAGGCGGTGGGGGCGATGCTTGCAAAAATATCATTAACAAAAAGTGCTTAACAAAAAGTTCAGGTGAATTTGGTTTGAAAGAATCTCATGCCCAGGCTCCTTGAACTTCTGGGTTCAAATTATCCTCCATCTTAGCTTCTCCCAGTACAGGTACCATTATGTTTTTATTTGGAGTTGACTCATTTTAACAAAACTTTTCTTCAACACAGGATTCTACTGTATATCACAGATAATAAGCTCAAAAGCCTGGTGAAGGCGAGTAACATAGGTAAACCTGTTGGAACATGGAATCTAAGCTATTAATACCTGTGTTGAAGGAAACAAGAACACTGAGCACTGGTCACTTATTCCGTGTGCTAGGTACCATAATTTTCAGATATTCCAGAGAGGTCTGGAACTTGGATTTTCGTGCAAAAGTACCCACAGTCAAATATTGGCAGTTAATTTTTAAATATATGAAACTAAGGGGGCTGGAGAGATGGCTCAGAGGTTGGGAGCACTGACTGCTCTTCCAAAGGTCCTGAGTTCGGTTCCCAGCAACCACATGGTGGCTCACAACCACCTATAATGAGATCTGGTGCCCTCTTCTGGCCTGCAGGGACACGTGTAGGCAGAATACTGTATACATAATAAATAAATAAATCTTTAAAAAAAATATGAAACTAAGTGGACTGTTTCTACTCAGGTTCAGCAAGTACATTTCAGGGCCATCAGACTATGACTGTTCCCACCTCAATTCCTTTAATACCTTCCACTTTAACTTTAAAATGTTAGGGTGAAAAGCACTGTTGTTAAACCCGTAAGCTAGTAAGATGATTTGGTAAATTTTGGTAATGTCAATACAGTAGAACATCACACAACCAGGAATATTTAATAAAAACCCAGTTACATTTAAGAAATACAAGTGGATAGGAGTAACACCACATGTCAACTACATGCAGGTCAACAGTAAGTAGTCACTGCTTTTATATTCACAACAAGCTTTTTTTTTTTTTTTTTTGATTGTATGGAAAATCCTTTGCACTCATAATCAGCTTCTGCTGTGTAAAGGTCACACATGATTTCTTGTTTCCAATGCACTTTTTCTTTTTAGAGATACTAACTTTGTCTCTTTGTTTTCTTCTGATGACTTCCGAAAGAACAACGAAGCCAACTCCTCATTTAGATGGGTAAAGTTTAATATTTTACATCTTACTTTACTTTATTGCTATTAAAGTAAGAAGCTTTTATTTAGATACCTTTACCTGACACTCTAGGCATCATGTTGTTTTTGGACAAGTGATCTCTGGTCAAGAAGTTGTGAGAGAGATTGAAAACCAGAAAACAGATGCTGCTAGCAAACCATTTGCTGAGGTCCGGATACTCAGTTGTGGAGAGCTGATTCCAAAATCCAAAGGTAAGAGCAGGTACATGCTTTAGGGAATTCTTGCTCAAATAAGCAGAAAGATTCTAAATCTTTGGCATAAAATGTTTGGTAAAGTGTGTATAAAGCATATAGGTTTTGTGGGTTTAGATGTATTTTGTGCTGTTATTTTTTTCTAATTTGTATGTGTATGCTCCTACACATACGTGTCTATGTCAGCACAACTTCAGTTATGGTTCCTCAGAAGCCATGTACAATATACTATAACTACAATATACAGTAAGTAAATTATTCTTGGAAAGAATTTTGCACAGTGTTTAGCATTTTATATATGCTCTACAGATAATTTTTCTTCACTACTTACTTCAACCTCTTTTTAGGGTGAGGTGGGGTGTGATCTTCCTGTGTGGCCTTGGCTGGCCTGTAATTCTTATAGATGTATACACACAAGTGCTGGAATTAAAGGTATACATCAGCATGACCCTGCTCAATCTCTGTTTCAAATTCTAATATAGGCCACATCTGCTAAATGCTTGTTTTGAAAGTATACATTTGTTCTAGTGCACTTGATGTATTAAAAAATGTTGTTTACACATAATCTTGTCTGCACACTAAGTGAACCTTACTTGGCTGAATACCTTTATAGGCATATACAAAAAGTATATTATAAGCTATGCTACTTCTGATAATTTCATGAGCAAAAACTCCTGGTATTTTGCACAAACTCGTGGTATTTTCATGAGTAAACTTCTGGTATTTTTCAGTGTCGTTACTTATTTTTTACTTCTTAGTAATTTGGTATAAGTAAAACTGGATCACCACTTTTGTTTTTGTTTTGTTTGTTTGTTTGTTTTAATATGTCACCAGTGAAGGTTTTGAGTGCTCCTCAAAAGGCCATGTTTTGTTTTTGTTTTTTGAGACAAGGACTCAGTCTGCAGTCAGGCTGGCCTCAAATTTGTTGTCTTCCTACCTTTATTCTGCCTCTGCTTTCCAAGTGCTAGAATTACAGATGAGTGCCACCACACCAAAGCCATTGTGTTCTTAATTTTTCTTAATGTAGTGCTTTACAGGAGCAAGTAAGTTGTTACAGCAAAATTGATTGTACCTCTCCTAAATCTCTCTGCTTTACTTTTATTAACTAATTTAACTTACAAATCCCTACATACTTTATACTAAGACAATATCTATAACCCTCTCATACAAGTATAATACCTGTTTGCTGTTGATCTTATTGTCTGAAATAAGATATAAGCTATGTAAGGATAGAGCTCATGTCTAAATTTCTTCTAGAACTTTTCAACATACTTTCTAATACCTCATCTCCACTCCTGGCATGGTGTTTAGTACATATCTGTATACTGTTCATTTAAATGTATTGGTGAACTTTAAGGATTACATTTTAGTTTTATTCATAATATGCCTTAATCATATTTTTAAATTTTAGTTAACACAGATTTTTGAAACTTAGCTACTAGCTGCTGGAACAATATTACTGTAACATCTTTGTTTTTTGCTCTTTTACCCTTCTGTTTTTTTTTTTTTTTTTTGGTTTTCGAGAGAGGGTTTCTCTGTGTAGCTTTGCGCCTTTCCTGGAACTCACTTTGTAGACCAGGCTGGCCTCGAACTCACAGAGATCCACCTGCCTCTGCCTCCCGAGTGCTGGGATTAAAGGCGTGCGCCACCACCGCCCGGCCCCCCTTCTGTTTTTTAACTGATGTTTCTCAATCAGTCTCTTCCAGCCCTGCCACTGAAAAAGATTGGCATGAAAAGGGCATATCATTTAAATTTTATTCAAAATAACATTGATGAACTTGAAAAAGAGAGGACTTTTAAAATCTCAGAGCTTTTTAATTTCAAGGTATTTTCCCTAAAACAATTTATTTTCTTTTTATAGTTAATATCTGAAAATTGAACAAATTCAATTACTATAGAAAAATTTCAATTTCTTTCTGTTTTTCTTCAAAAGTGATGTATGAGTTAGTGGTCATTTAAGATGTAGTTGATACACTTGGTAGGAATAATGAGCTTTTCAAATAAAGCAGCTTCTGGGCCAACAAGGTGGCTTAGCCAGATACACAAGCCTGGCAGCCTGAACTCAGTACGAGAAATTACATAAATGTGGCAAGTGTATGTTCACACCACACACACTCTCACGCACTAATAAAATCAGCCATGTTGTGTTTTTCTGTAAGAAAGAATTCTAGTGGAAAATAAAGTGGGAGCTGGTGAATGAAAGTTTCTTAATCATGGGATAAAGTATTTGATAAAGTCAAATGACTTTGATGGATATATCATTATTTTCATTTTGGTTAGATAGTATATACTCCCAATATTTCTTTGACTTACATTCATTGCAAATTAATTTTCTCTCACAAACATCTTTAAAAGTTCAGTATGAAACTGTTTTAAAATAAATTAAAAAAAAAAAAAAGTTCAGTATGTCCCACCCTTTTTCCCTCTGATTTTTAGTTACTACAAGTAAAAATAAATAGATTTTTCAGTTTTTGAGTCTGCATACCCACTCTGGTTTACCAGCTGTAATGGACTTAGGTTCAGATTAATAATTGGATTCATGAAACAGTGTAGGCTTCATTCCACACTAAATTGACTAAGTTTGTGATCTAGAGGAAGGTGACGAGGTAAACATGGACTGCCTTAGTTTATGGAAACCATTGCTGTGGGGTCTCTTCAGCTTTTATACTTGTTCCTGTATGCTAGTACAGTGCTGTCTCTTCACTGCAGAGTGACCCATGAACCATAAAGGACATAAAGGTCAAGGACAAGGACATAGTAACTTCAGAAAGGTGCTTTCTATTTTGGATTTAGTATGCTCTAATAAATACTGAGTTAAGAAGTACAAGGCTTTATTCAAGGACAGCCTGGTCTATAGAATGAGATCTAGGACAACCAAAGCTACACAGAGAAACCCTGTTTCGAAAAAAACAAAAAAAAAGAAGTGGTGCAAGGTCCTATAACAAGGAAGCCAATAAAGAGTCCAAAGATATAGATGTTTTGTCCTTTTTGTTGAATTGTCCATACTATTATATCTCCATAGGCATATTCATCACCCAGCTTCAACAGTTTACTCATGACGAGCCTTGGTTTACCTACCTCCAGCTATTTCTCTCCCTCACCAACCTTTACTTTTAAGGCAGAGTTTGGCTGTATTGCCAGGCTAGACTCAAATTTCTAGATATGTATGAATCATTTCACTCAGCTATTTTCCTATTTGAAACAAATTCCAGATATACATTTTATGAACAGATATTTTACTTTTTCCCCTAAGAAATGACTCTTTAAAAGGATAGCTAGTACCATAATCTTACACACATATTCATATTTATCAAAAACTTGGCAATGTTCAGATCTCTAGTTGTTTTATCAATATTAGTAATTTTGTTGTTGTTTGAATCTGGACTCAAATAAGGTTTGAACATTGAGATTGGTCTTAAAGGCTGTTTTTTTTTTTTTTTTTTTTTTTTTTTGGTTTTTCGAGACAGGGTTTCTCTGTGCAGCTTTGCGCCTTTCCTGGGACTCACTTGGTAGCCCAGGCTGGCCTCGAACTCACAGAGATCCGCCTGGCTCTGCCTCCCGAGTGCTGGGATTAAAGGCGTGCGCCACCACCGCCCGGCCTTAAAGGCTGTTTTTTGTTGGTTTTTGCCAGGCATAACTGTAGTCCTAGCTACTTGGGAAGTTGAAGTGTAGGGTCATTTGAGGCCAGGAGCTTGCCATACAACTAGGTTATTTGTCATGGAGCATTTCTCATGATTGTACTTTACATAGTTTAGTACTTCTGTTTCAAATAACTTAGTAGATCAGTCTAGAAAACTGATTAGATTCAGCTTTGTTGTGTCCCGTTCCCCCCCCCCCCCAGTCCTTTTTTTTTTTTAAATGAGAGTTAATTTAATAGGATTTACACAGGGCTGGTTTCTCTCTGCTCTGTAATTGGTGTTCACTTAGTGCCTCATTAGGAGTTGCCAAAAGGTACTCTGATAGTAGTTCCGTTGTCACTTACTGCTGGAACTCTTCTGATGAAGAGCAGCATCCGTTTGTTTATTGATAGAAATCATATAGGAAAGGCCGAATGGTTTATTTATATCTTAATTTATCAGTACTATTATGAACTGATGGACAAGTGTATTTATTTACTGTTTGCTAATTTATTGAAATTCCCTTCTATGTATATGTGTATTGACCCATTTTTGGCCTGAGTAAGTATTTTCAAATCCATCCTTGTACCAGGCTTTTTATTTTAGGCCACCAACCAGCTCCCAGATCATGACACAGAGACTTACTAGCTTTGAATCCTTGGCCTAGCTTACACTGATTCTGGCTAACTTAATTCTTTTAACTTAAATTAACCTGATTATCTACCACTTGCCTTGGGGCTTTTTACTTTTCTTTCTGTATGTCCTACTCTGTATCTGACTGGCAGCTGCCCAGTTGGCCCCCAGGCATCTTCCCCTCTTTCTCCCTCATTTTCTCTTCTCTGGTTCTTTCCAAGCCTAGATTTTTCCTCCTATCTGTTCTTTCTGCCTGCCACCCCCACCTATCCCTCTTCTGCCTAGCTATTGGCCATTCAGTTTTTTATTAAACCAATCATGTGCCTGAGGCAAGCAAGGTGAAACAGCAACACATCTTTTCATAATTAAATGCAGCAGAAACAAATGTAACACATCCTTACATTGTTAAACAAATGTAATGTAGCAGAAACAAATATAACACACCTTCTCACAGTTAAAGTAATATTCTTCAGCAGAAACAAATGTAATACATCTTTTCTTTACATAGCTAAATATTCCACAACACATCCTAGTTTGAGTTAGCACAGCTTCAAATGTGTCAAGTTCTACCTGTTGAAAAATTCATATGTAGAATATGTGATAACTTACATGAACTGAAAGCTTTACTTATGTTAATACGTTCATTAAAGCATCTACGTTTGTGGTTTTTTGTTTGTGTATTTGGGTTTTCAAGACAGAGTTTCTCTGTGGAGCTTTGGAGCCTGTCCTGGAACTTGGTCTGTAGCCCAGGCTGGCTTCGAACTCACAGAGATCCTCCTGCCTCTGCCTCCCGAGTGCTGGGATTAAAGGCGTACACCACCACCTCCCGGCAGCATCCAAGTTTTAAGAAACATTAAAAAATTATTTCCTGAGCTTAGAAGATGGCTCAATGGGTAAAGGTGCTTGCCATATAAGCCCAATGACCTAAGTTCAGTCCTTGAACCTACCTAAAAGTGGAACTCTACAAAATAGTTCTCTGACCATGGCACACACATCATAGCACATGATAATAACAAATCATTTTCAAAAAATTGATTACCCAGCCAAGTGTAATGGCATGCACCTTTAATCCCAGTACAGAGGTTGAGGTGGGCAGATCTCTTTGAGTTTGAGAGGCCAGCCTTGTCTACATAGTGAGTTTCAGGACAGCCAGAGCTACATAGTGAGACCCTGTCTCAAAAGGAAAAAAAAAAAAAATTAGTTCCCTTACTCAAAGTAAAATTTCAGCTTGAGACTTTTTTGTAGAGACTTTTTTTGTTGTTGTTGTTGTTGTTTTTTGTTTTTTCGAGACAGGGTTTCTCTGTGTAGCTTTGCGCCTTTCCTGGAACTCACTTGGTAGTCCAGGCTGGCCTCGAACTCACAGAGATCCGCCTGGCTCTGCCTCCCGAGTGCTGGGATTAAAGGCGTGCGCCACCACCGCCCGGCTTGTAGAGACTTTTAAACATAGTTATTACTGATAAATTACTTCTGATTAAGAGATTGTGCTTCCTCAGGAAGCAGAGGCAGGGAGACTTCAGAGTTCACAGTCAGCATGGTCTACAGAGAGGGTTCCAGGATGACAAGCATAGGCAGTGAAGGAAACCATCAAAATAAAAAGCTGATGAAAATATATTTGAAAGAGGGGGCCATGTACTGGCCCCAGAAAGCAGTAGAATTTGGTACTTTTAGCCACATGGTTTTGGCTTTAGAGTCAAGGATATAAGGAGTTATGGAATCTCCCTCCATGACTACAGAAAAGTTGATGAGGCCAGGCATGTGTCCCTGAATGGAGGCCCAGAGAGGCCATTGATTAAGGCTGTGAAGTTGAAGCCTGGATTGCCTTGGGGACACCAAGATACTGGAGATGCCAAAGTCATGGGATACCTGCCCTGGAGAGCTGCTACATGGAGTGGAACCAGCCCAAGATAAAAAGAAGTGTGTTACAGTCAACAAAGCTGAAAGGAGTTGGACTGAAGGAGCGCATTGACATCAGACATGGAAATACAGAGTTTACAGTTTGCCCTGCTGGTTTTCAGTCTTGCTTTGGTCCATTATTTCCTCACCAGGCTCCCTTTCCTCCCCTTTGGGACAGTAATGTATATCCTGTGTCATTATATGTTGGAAGTTATGTGATCTGATTTTTCATTTTGATTTTACAGGGGGTTGCATTAAAAGATTGTATGAGTCTCAGAGAGAGAGAGATTATGCTTCAATTAAAGTTGTATTTCTAAACATTTGAGGAATGTTCAGTCATGAAAGTTTTAACCCAATGCCAATGAAATGTTCTTCCTATGTTGACACGGTGATGTTTTTCTGGTTCTGCCTCCAGTCTTAATAGGAGAAGTGGAAAACTAACATTAGAGTCTGGGGGAATCCAGATGTTACTCTGTGCTTAAAATTTTTCTATTCACATATTTTTTTTTTTTTTTTTTTTTTTTTTTGGTTTTTCGAGACGGTTTCTCTGTGTAGCTTTGCGCCTTTCCTGGAACTCACTTGGTAGTCCAGGCTGGCCTCGAACTCACAGAGATCCGCCTGGCTCTGCCTCCCGAGTGCTGGGATTAAAGGCATGCGCCACCACCGCCCGGCTAGATATTTTCTTAAAGTTAACTTGGTTTAGATTTTGGAGCTTGCTTATTATCAGAATACTTTGGCTTAATAGAATTTTGGCTCATGAATCTGAAAATCTAGATTCTAACCCTGAGTCCTGATGGAGTTGAGATGACTGGATGAACAAAATACCTAATACTGGCCTTAATAAAAATTGATAGAAAATGTTTTTTTTTTTTTTTTTTGGTTTTTCGAGACAGGGTTTCTCTGTGTAGCTTTGCGCCTTTCCTGGAACTCACTTGGTAGCCCAGGCTGGCCTCGAACTCACAGAGATCCGCCTGGCTCTGCCTCCCGAGTGCTGGGATTAAAGGCGTGCGCCACCACCGCCCGGCGAAAATGTTGTTTTTACTTAGTAAGTTTGCCTGAAAAAATTACTGAGTGGAATCTTTTTGTTTTTAAAGTTAAGAAAGAAGAAAAGAAAAGGCATAAGTCATCATCATCATCATCATCCAGTGATTCAGATAGCTCGAGTGATTCTCAGTCCTCCTCTGATTCTTCTGATTCTGAAAGTGCTTCTGAAGAAAAATCCAGAAAAAGGAAAAAGAAACATAGGAAAAACTCCCGAAAGCATAAGAAGGAGAAGAAGAAGCGAAAGAAAAGCAAGAAGAGGTCTTTACAATGTGTTCTCTATTAAGATTTTGAATCAGTTATATAAGAGCGTTAAAATAGGTTTTATAACAGTGTCATGAGATCATGCAACAAAAGCTCTCAGTTAATTTTATGTTCTTCCAGTGAAATGATGCTTTCGGTTTTATGTTACAGGGCTTTTATTTTTTGATTTATTGAGGCATTCCCAGTTCCCCAGGCTGGCCTCAAATTCATAGTCCTACCCCCTTTACTGTTGTGGGACAAAACTTTTCCTGGGGAGATGCAACAGACCCGTCTACTCTCCCCGGATAGGGAACCCATGACAGATCAAAGTCTGGATACCACCAAAGTCCAACTTGGTGAACCAGTGAGTGTTATTGAGGTTAATTACAGAAGCAGAAATCTCTCAAAGATTTCATCACCAAAGTGCGCCCTAGCATAGGGAACAGCTCACAAAGCTAGGAACCTGAAGCAGACTACACAGTGTGCAGGCCACTCAATAGGTTGGAGAGTGTCCTTTCTGGGTGCCTCAATTGTTCTAAACCTCTTCCAGGTAGCTAGGCCAGTTTCTGCTTCTCTGGCAGCTGGGATGGTCTGACAGTCTTCTGTAGTTTGTCTTTTCTGAGAGTCTTCTTTGCAGCGTGGCTCTGCTTACTCATGCAGGGAAGGTCTAGTCAATATTGTCAGTTCAGAGACTTCCTGAAGCTATTTTGAGTTGGTTACTTTCTTGATTAAGGAGCTTCCTGCAGGATTGAATGTTTTAATTTCAGGAAACAGTTACACAACATTGTCCCAAGTAGTAATAGTTACAGGTGCACAATATCATTCTGGGTTTGGATTTTTATTTTGAAGAGATTTGTGAGATAGCTTTGAATTACAGTAAACCAACAGTTATGTCCCTTACTTTGTAGCAGTACATACATACATACATATATATATATATATATATAAGTCCTTTTATATTTCTTTTGCTCTGATAGCAGTATATGAATTGAGAGCAGATGATTAAGTCACTGCTTTATTTTCTGCTTTGTTTGAAATGTGTTTATATTAAAATTTAATTATACCTATTACCTCAAAAGTGACTAATTTCTTTAGCCTGTACTATTTTGTACAAAATTTTGTTATTTATATATGCATAGGTGTTTGCATGCTTGTGCCCATGGAGGTCAGAAGAGGCTATCAGATCCCCTGGAACTAGAGTTAGAGTTGGTTGTGAGCTGCCTTGTGAGTGCTGCCTATTGATCCTATGCCCTCTGGAAGAGCAACCAGTGCTTGTCACCACTCAGCTGCCTCTCCAGCCCCTACTCTGTATTTCTGATTTATCAGAATATATTGCCTATAAGGTCTCATCTATCTTATAGAAAGTACTTTTGAGTTTGAAAACAAATGGGTTTTTGTTTGGTTGAGTTGATTGGTTGCTTGGTTTGTCAGGGGAATGAAGGAAGTTTTTTGTTTTTGGTTTTTTTGTTTTTTTGGTTTTTTTTTGCTACATGATGACATCTTTAAAAGGGAAAGGTGGGCATATATATTTTGATATTAAAGAAATTCTGGGCTGATGAGACAACTCGGCATGTAAAGGCACTTGCCACCGAGCCCATTGACCTGGATTTATCCTGACTCAGGGTGAAAGGGGAGAACTGGTTCCTGCAGATTGTTCTCTGACCTCCACATGTGTACCATGGCATGCATGCTTGTGCACACACTGACTGAAAATGTCACTTAAAAAGAAAGAATGCCAACAACTGCAAATTTTAGATAGGTTCCTAATAGCCAAGTGTGCCTTCCTTTGACTTTACCTGTCTAGCCCGTCTAGTGAGAGTGAAGCAGAGAATCCTGATGCCCAGCCTCAGTCTACTGTCCGTCCAGAGGAGATCCCTCCTGTACCGGAAAATCGGTTCCTCATGAGAAAAAGTCCTCCGAAAGCTGACGACAAGGAGCGGAAAAACAGAGAGAGAGAACGAGAAAGAGACTGGTATGTGAATGTGTATCCTTTATAGTGCTGTGATTTCTTTTTTGACAGTGTTGAAATGGTGGCCTTATCCCAATGAAATCCTCTTAATTTCGGGGGAAAAGAAGCTAGCAAAGCTCATTCTTTGCTAAATACATACATAAATAACTAAAAATTGACTTCGGTTACCAACAGATTTTGAGGAAATACGTTCTGAAATTTAAAGTAATATGTGTTAGATGACACTGCAAATGACATTGATAATGAGATAGAATAGCGTTAAACCAATAAAACAAGGTGGTATTTTGGTATGTTGCTTATCTGTGTTTCTAAAATGGTTTATTTTGCTATTTTTTTGATTTGTGTGTGTGTGTGTGTGTGTGTGTGTGTGTGTGTGTGTGTGTGTGTACATATGAGTATACATATATGTGTGTGAGTTCAAGATCCCTCCTCTATCAGAAAAATAGATTCCTAATAAGCAAAAACCTTCCTGAAGCTATTAACAAGGAAAGGATTGAGAGAGGGAGGGAGGGAGGGAGGGAGGGAGGGAGGGAGGGAGGGAGGGAGGGGCGAATGTATGTATTTTCCCCAGGGCCCTTGTGGTCTAAGGAGAGGACTGACTCCCACAAGTTGTGCAAGTATAAGAACCTCAATTTTATCTCTGAAACCCCTGCAAAAAAGCTGGGTGCAGTGGCATGCTTGTGACCCCAGTTCCGGGGAAGTAAGGATGGGTGCACCTCTGGGTCTTGCTCACCAGTCTGCTTAGCCTGCCCAGTGAACTCCAGGCCAATTAGAGACCCTGTTTCAAAAATCAAGTTGAATGGCTCCTAAGGAGTGACACCCAAGGTTAACCTCCGACCTACCCACACAGATAGGTGCACCTGAATTTACATACACATGCGTTCACAGACATACACACAAACAAAGAAAAATTAACGGTTTATAAATTTGTATAAAGAGGAAAACCTTATTTTCCTAACCTGACTTTATAGTTATTACAAGTTGGGATGTTCAAGTATTTTGAATATTTTTCTATATAAATCTGTCTTATTGTTACCAATTCTATTGGGTTTTTGTGAGTAATTTTAATAATTACATGTAAAAATTAAAAAGAAATTGAAATCTTTCTTAATCATGATGAGTAATGCAATTTTAAAATTACAAAATTCTAAGCATGATATAACAAAAATATGCTGTACTTTTCATAGTATACAGAAATAAAAGAGTTTTAAAATTGGAATAATTTTGATTTATTGAGTTTATTTTTCTACTGGTTTGGAAGAGAATGTTTTTTTGTTTTGGTTTGGTTTTTTTGGTTTTTTGAGACAGGGTTTCTCTGTGTAGCTTTGCGCCTTTTCTGGAACTCACTTGGTAGACCAGGCTGGCCTGAACTCACAGAGCTCCGCCTGGCTCTGCCTCCCGAGTGCTGGGATTAAAGGTGTGCGCCACTACCGCCACCCAGCTAGAAGAGAATGTTTTTAAGGAAATGAAGATTAAAGAAAAACTATTTGACCTACTAAAATTCAACCTTTCAAATATTACATGGATATTATTGAGCTAATTTTACTTATAATTTAAAACCAGTTTCACACTTGATGTATATCATATGAGTAGTATTTGACTAATTCAGACCAATCTGTCTCTGCCTAATTTGCATTGCTTAATTTCTCCAAAGTTACCTTACTAATGTGCAACTGCTCATAGGAAATTATAAAGCATTTTGGAATAAGATAGTCTTAATTTCTCTCTTTCTCTCTCTCTTGGAGCCCCTGCGTTATTATATATTAGTTTCCTTAGCACTATCGAATTAGTTTCACCTTACCACTAAATACTTCTTTCAAAGATTATTCACATTCAGGGTGGTATAACCATAGGCAGTAATGCTTACTGGGATTTGATGACATTTTCAGTTATAAATTAAATGCATTCATTTAGATCAGTAAAGATATATTTTCAATATTCCTCTTTATAAAAGTAATATGTTTAAATTTTCCCTTTGCTTGCTTCTAGTAATCCACCTAACTCCCAGCCTGCTTCATACCAGCGACGATTCTTAGTTACTAGGTCTGGCAGGAAAATTAAAGGAAGAGGACCAAGGGTAGGTGATTCTTTTTTTTGGTTTTTCAAGACAGGGTTTCTCTGTGTAGCTTTGCGCCTTTCCTGGAACTCGCTTTGGAGACAGGCTGGCCTCGAACTCACAGAGCTCCCCCTGGCTCTGCCTCCTAGTGCTGGGATTAAAGGCGTGCACCACCACCGCCCTGCTAAGGGTAGGTGATTCTTTGTCAGAAATGTTAATAACACTGCATTTGTCCTTCTTACAGAATGTGGAGTGCTGGGGGTGTCGGTCAGTGCTAGAGTGCTTGCAGAACATGTTTACAACCCTGAGTTTAAAGGCCTCAGTACTACAAGGAAAAAAGGAATTTAATGTTTTAAAAATATTTTCAAGTGCCATTTTACTATTCAGGTTACTAGAACTATAGGAGACATGCATGGTTTCAATTATAGATCCCTTTCTTATAGTAACTTTGTCTTGGTACTTCTAGTTGAAAGTAGATTATAAATTTACTTGCTTTAAAATGGGATTGAGATGGATGTGGTGGCTAATACCTTAGGAGACTAAGGCAGGGAGATTGCTGTGAGTTTGAGACCAGCCTGGTCTATATAGTGAGTTCTAGGCCAACTTAGGCTACAGCATGAGACCCTGTCTCAAAAATAAATAACATTAAAATAAAATCAGAGGGGCTAAAGAGATGGCTCAGCGGTTAAGAGCACTGACTGTTCTTCAGAGGACCCAGGCTCAATTCCCAGCACCCACATGGCAGTTCACAGCTGTCTGTAACTACAGTTCCAGGGAATCTGACTCTTTCACACCAGTGCACATAAAGTTAAAAACAAGAAGGAAAAAAAAAGCCAATAAAGGCACTTATAAATAAATGAATAAATGAATAAATAAAATAAATCAGAACATAAAGGGTATTGAAATCTTGACTTTTTTTAATTCCTACCCATCATATCTCTATTCTTACCAAAAACTGAATAAAAATTGGTCATTGCATTTCTTTTTTCTTTTTACTAAATTTTCCCAGAATTTAAATAACTTCTTTCAAAACTTTTTTTAGAAATGTGGCTATACTTTATATTTTAGGTCTTTGCTTCTTACTCAGTTTTTCTTCTGCTTTCTACAGTCTGTTGAAAATAGCACTTCCTGTCTGGTTGGTTTCAATTTACAAAATTCATTGAATCTTTTTAGTCATTACTTAATCTCACCTCCTAGTGTTCTCTCCATATTGTTTTAATCTTGTTTTTTCCTATCTCTCAAGCCAATCTTAATCTTAGACTACTATTTTGCATCCTATACATGACCTTTATAAATTAGTGTCAAGGCTCTAGTTCATTTTAAATTGCAAACTCCTTGGACAGGCTCTTTAGTCTCATGGATGGCTGATAATTCACAGTTCCATCTGCTCTTGGCACCAAAGGTTTATATGGCTAATGAACACCTCAGATTTACCATCAAGAAAGCTCAGCATAAGCATTTACTCCTCAGATCTCATGTCTCTTCAGGCTGTCGTTCACAGTGACTGGTGCCACCACCTGTTTGCCTGTTTCACCCTAAGCCCAAACTCATTTTCCTTCTCTTCCCTTTATACTTTATACAACTTTTTATGTCAACTCCTGTCATTTCTTTCTCCTCACTGCTCTGACATGCACCTGCTTCTGTAAAGCTTACTCATAATGCTGTCTCAAGTAGAAAGGGCTTCCAAACTTGGGTTTGGTAGGTTTGTTTTTGTTTTCTCCATCAGTACTGGTTTTAAACTTAAACCTTAAATGAATGCAGACCCTGAAGAGCTTTTGTTCATGTGAGTTAAATATTTATCAATATTAGTACTTTTAGAAATTAAAACTAAGAAATACTCACCACAAGTATAAGTAGCTATGAAAGTAGTTAAATCAAAAAGTGTGTTTAGCTGGGCGGTGGTGGTGATGGCACACGCTTTTAATCCCGGCACTCAGGAAGCAGAGGCAGGTGGATCTCTCTGAGTTCAAGGCCAGCCTGTCTACAGAGTGAGTTCCAGGATAGGCTCCAAAGCTACACAGAGAAACCCTGTCTCAAAAACAAACAAACAAAACAAAAACAAAACCTGTTTTATGGTCTCTGAGTGATTCTACCATATAATCAAGAAGAGACAGAAGTGGAAAAGGCATATGGTGTATTTAACAGTGGTCAGGGTAGTCAGAAAGTGCACATCTGGGCTGAGATGTAGCTCCAGTGATAGAGTATTTGCCTGAAATACAGAAGGCCTTAAGTTTGATCTCTAGCCCTTTGAGCATTGAGCAAGTCTGATTATGTTACTCCTGTAGTATTGACTTTAGGATAAATAAAAAATAATTACCAGAGACTGAGCTCTCACAGAATCTATCTTTGTTTACTTCATCAGTATGGTCTAGTTTTACTTTCTCTTGGAATTTTTAGCTTTAGCCATACTTGACCTGTCTTGTGATCATTTCTAAAAGAATGCTGTTTGTTTCTGCCCCAGAACTTTGAATATAGACGTTTCTTATAATATTCCATGTTTTGTTTCATCTTTGCCTAGGTAACTTAGCATCAACATTCTTTTTTCCGCTTTTGTTATTTTAGATGATCGCATTCCTATAACTTAGTCAGATCTCTCTTCGATTGTTTGAGCACCATTTCTTCTTCTGTAGTCATTCTAGTGTAGTTTAATGTGTGCGATTATCTATCCATTAATTTGTTCCTCTAACTCTGTAGAATGTTCAGTCCCAAGAGATCAAAATCTGCTATATCTTGGCTCACTGGTATGTCTTTAGTAATGTAGTTAGCCATCCGAAGAGCTGAGTAAATGTTGGTTGAACAAAGGGCTTCTGTGTGTGTATTCTACTTAATGATATTGCTTTGCTTTGGAAGGTGACGTTTATGTAACATTCAAATAAGAACTTGGGAATTTGTAGTAGTTAATAGACCAAGTATTCTAGCACCAGTTGAGCAAGACTGTTCCTAGCAAGACCTGAAAAGCCAGAGTCGCTGTGGGTAGTGTTTCTTACTTGGAATTTATGGTTAGACTATTACAGGGATCTCTACCTGTTGCTACCTGAAAGCTGAGACATTTGATTGTGCTAAGGATTAGATTCTAGAGTATGATGTATGCTAAGCACACATTCTTACCTCATTCCTTTTTTTGGAGGGGAGTAGTTTGGGTTTTGGTTTTGGGTTTTTGAGACATGGTTTCTCTGTGAAACAGTTCTGGCTTCTGGAACTCACTCTGTAGACTAGGCTGGCCTCAAACTCACAGAGATCCCACCTGCCTCTGCCTCCTGAGTGCTGGGATTAAAGGAGTGTGCCACCATTGCCCAGCCCTCGTTCGTAATTTTAACAATTTCAGAAAGCAGAAAAACCTCATTTATTTTATTTCAACCTAGAAATAAGTATGTATCTTAGCTATGGTATCGCTTTTAAATTTTTATATGGTCTTTTTTTCCCCCTTTTATTTTTTTAAGCGTTATCGAACTCCTTCCAGATCCAGATCAAGGGATCGGTTCAGACGAAGTGAGACTCCTCCACATTGGAGACAAGAAATGCAGAGAGCCCAAAGAATGAGGGTGTCAAGTGGTGAAAGATGGATCAAAGGGGATAAGTAAGACTTAACTGTTATTTCAAATTAGTGATTTTTTTTTTTTTTACTGTTGTGCACAATTATTTTATTAGGAACCATTTTATTTCTGTATACCTTACAGAAAACACTGTAGCATTGTACCCTATAATTATGCTGTTCTTTTCCTAATAACATTTCCCAATATCTTTTCTCCCTTTACTTTTTAGGAGTGAGTTAAATGAAATAAAAGAAAATCAAAGGAGCCCAGTTAGAGTAAAAGAGAAAAAAATAACCGATCACAGACACATGTCTGAGAGTCCAAACAGAAAAGTAGAAAAAGAAAAGAAAGTTAAAGACCATAAATCTGAAAGCAAAGAGAGAGACGTGAGAAGAAATTCAGAAAAGGATGATAAGTACACTAAAAACAAAGTGAAGAAGAGGGGCAAATCCAGAAGTAGGAGTAAGAGCAAGGAGAGATCCAAGAGTAAGGAGAGGGAGCCCAAGCATGGCAGACACGAAGACAAGAGGCCGAGGTCCAGGAGTAAAGACAGGGGTCACGAGACTCCGAAAGAGAAGCAGCTGGAGTCGAAAGGGAAAGATCAGGACAGCAGTGGAAGCAGAGAGAACTCTAAACAGGGGGAGTCCAAAAGGAGTGAGCACGACCATAGCAAGAGTAGAGAGAAGGACAGGCGTGCACAGTCTAGGAGTAGAGAGCGCGACGTAACTAAGAGTAGACACAGCTACAACAGTAGGGCGAGGGAGCGAAGCAGAAGCAGGGACAGGAGCAGAAGAGTGCGCTCTAGAAGCCATGACAGAGATCGCAGCAGGAGCACGGAGCACCACAGGTACAGAGACCAGGAGTATAGGAGAAGAGGAAGGTCACGGAGCCGGGGTCGAAGAACTCCAGGACGATCGAGAAGTAAAGACAGAAGGAGAAGGAGGAGGGACTCCCGGAGCTCAGAAAGAGAAGAAAGTCAAAGTCGAAACAAAGAAAAATACAGAAGCCAAGAAAGTAAGAGTTCCCACAGAAAAGAAAATTCGGAGAGTGAAAAAAGAGTGTACTCTAAAAACCGGGATCATAATAGCTCAAGTAATAATAGGGAAAAAAAGGCTGATAGAGATCAAAGTCCAGCAGTGTCAAAACCAAAACAGAGCAGTCAGGACAGTGAATTGAAAAGTCAGGAGGACGAGAAGACCAGATCTCCAGTGGAAAAAGAAAACCAAAAATCAAAGGGTCAAGAAAATGACCATGTACATGACAAAAATAAAAAATGTGATCGTGAGTCGAGCCCCGGAACAGATGAAGACAAAAGTGGATGAGTGAGTTGTGTATGCTTATTTCCTTCCTGTCCCAATTTCAGTTTTTGAGACTTACTGTTGAATCTCTTTTTTTGTTGTTCTCATTGTTTTGGGGTTGTTTTATGTTTGTCTCCCCCATCCCCCCTTTTTTTTAAATGTGGACTTCATTAAGTTGATATTTTGATAATCTGCTACCTGGATAATTTGTACTGCTAAAGTTTTAATAAACTTGAAATGAAAAAAAAAACCCACTTTGGTGTAATATTGTGTGCTGTGTTAACTAGCTTATGTATTCATTTTTGTGTTGCAACAGTCAGTCAGTAGCAGCCTACTTTGTTTAATCAACCATTTGGAAACAAGCTTAACTGTTGGTTAAGTTGGTTGCAGTACATTGTTAGACAAATTTGTGTTTCTTTTGATAAAAATCCCTTGAGAACCCACTAGAAGTTTTGAGTAGTTTTTGTTTTGCATTTATAATTCACAGGCTTACAGCTGTTTCTTTGAATTACACAGAAGCAGGATTCTGAGGTGATCTTAAGTCATCACTTGATGTTACAGTTATCTCTGCTTTAGATGCTTTTCTCGGGCTTCATCCCTTGTACTTTGCAGTTCCAGCTATCACTTGTTTCTGAATACTGTCCATGTCTGTGAGCCAAAAAAAGGAGACGGGTGCTCTTTTCAGTCTATGTGCTGCTTGAGCTTGAGTTGCTGTTATACAGCGTTTGACAGAGATTGTACCTTGGAAGATCATACTATAATTTTCAATTCTTTGTGCTTTTGGTGTGAAGAACTGAAACTTGCTTTTTAAGAACACGTTACTACCTTTTTCTACAATTTAAAAGACATTTCTCATTAAAACATACTACTTGTGTAGGTACTTCTTAATCTAGACAGATTCTAAAAAGCGTTAGTATTGGAAATAAGATTCCCTATTTTGGCTGTTAGCCTGTATCACATTGAGTGTTAAACCTGCATGGTTTGGGTTTCTTTAAACTTGGACTAACTTCTCTAATTCTCATAGCTGTGAATATGAAATGTCAAGAAGATGCATCTTTCTATATCTGTACCATGATAGGCCGCAGCATGTCTGTGACTCTGGTTTCTTTCTGTTCAGATGACTTTAGACCAGTTTACTGTTAACATTATTTTAACTTGGCATGTATTACATTGCCATATAGAGTAGAGTAGAAAGTTGCAAAATATGATACCTTACAGAGGTAAACACTAAACAAATCCAAAGTCCATTCAGAATTTTGTGTGTTGTATTTTGCTATTTTTGTGTCTTTGTGTGGCCTTTTATTCTGTAATATCCTTCTAAATAAAACATTGAACATCCAGCAAACACAAAACCTGCCTCATTTGAAAAATATTTCAAAACTCCAATTATTAGTAGCCTTTAGAAAGTTTTGTACTTTGATATTTGTCAGTATAGTGTCAACTCTTACCCAGGTAGCTTCTTGGCAAACCCAGTAGCTATTCAATGCTTTTGTACTGCATAAAGTTATGCCTAATGTACTTCCCATTATTGATTATTACAATATATTGGCAATGTAGCTGGTACAGAATGAAGGATGCGGTGATTATAAAGCTGTTTGGAATATCCTAAAACAAATACCCATGGCAGATTCTTTACAAATTGTTTTTCTTGATGGGAAAAGTTAGTGTGTGTGTGTGTGTGTGTGTATATATATATGATTTGTTACATGACTTAAAACAAATTGATTATGTCTTAAATCCAGTCAATTGTGTTTTAAAATATATTCCAAACTATCTGATCTTTAAGAAAGGAATTTCTACTAACATTTTAAAATCCATACTAAGTAAAACTACTTTTTTCCTTGTCCTAGAGCTTTTATCTGTTAGCATATATATAAACAAGGATTTTCCAGTTCTTTAAAAAAGTAGGCATGGGAGAGAATTAGTAATGTCTATAATATCCTTCTGTTTGGGTTATCAACAGAGCGGTTCCCGTACCCCTGCTTTTTTAGCTTTTTTCAGTAGATACAGTAGAACAGATAATGGGGTCAGGAGTTGAGGAGACAATCATATAGATTTTGTTTTCAGAATATAGAAAACTACTTACCCTCATTAACTGTACCCCAAGAGTTCCAGTTGACCTAATCAAAGCTTAAGCCCTTGTTTCAGTAGTTGTGCTAGTAGATCTTTCCCATTTCAATTTTCTCATCAAATTGACTTTATAGAAACATATGAATTTGCAGTTAATTTGTAATTTTGTCTTAATACCTTTTAAAAGTATTTTCACTTGTTTTTATTGCTTGATTCCAAAGCTGAGAAAATTACTTCAGTATGTAAGACTTTAGTGATTCTTGTATGAATTCCTTTTTGGGTAAGCCGTTTGCCATAGAAATTGACACTATAAAGCGATTGTAGTGGAAGTAAAGATACCTTTGGCGTTGTAGTTGGTGTAGACTGGACAGTGCAGAGGGTGAGACTGATAGAATATCTTGAAACAGGTACCCACAGTGCATCTGTGACAGTAAGGAAGCCACTGGTTGTTTTAAAAATTCTTTGACTTACAGTTGATGCTGTTGTAGAACTCGTTTGTTTTAAGTCACTTAATTGGAGCCTTTAGAATTTGTCAAGAATTAATCTGCTAGCTTTCTCCTTTCCCCAGAGTGATCCAGATGCTCACTGGCTTTGCCAGGTGGCCTTTGCTTTGTGTATCCTAGTGGAAGGTGTTAAACTAAAAACGAAAGACTGCATCATGTTCTGGATAGGCACATGCTGGGTTTCTGGTATTTGAGATAATAGTATTAGCTGATGCTTCTCATTTATTTTCTAGTGCGTATTTAGAGCAGTTAGTCTGATAGCGGTTGGTTATGCTCTGTTCCACATAGTGGTCGTTTTCAACACAGAACCTTTTACAGCAGATCTCTCTAGAAATGGGTTGAACTTGTCTTCCTTCCCCAGAAGGGATTTAGACTTAATGATTGGTATAAAGAACCAAATGAGCATTTTTCTGTCTTGTTTCTGTCTACTGTAATAATTCCTTGTAGGATTCATTCATTTACAGTTGGCAAACTGTGTAGTTTGATAAACTTAATTGTCAGAGTTTTTTAAAACTAATTCTTGTTTTAAAAAATAAAGTATATCCCAAGTGCTGGTTGCCATCACTGCCTGCAGTGGGCTTCTCAGCTGCCTGGAAGGGATTCACCTGCTGTGGGACAAATAATTAAATAGTGTAAACAACATACCACATTAAAAAACAAAATAAAAAAGCCATCCAGGCCAAAGAAGGAAGTGCTAAGGGCTTTGTTCACTTCCTTTTGTCCCCAGTGCTGGAGGGGGTAAGGGTGTTGATTTGTGTTTCTATTTGCTTTTGTTTTTCCTTTTAGACACTTCATGTTACTAAAAGCACATGCTCTGTATATTTCCCCCCCCCCCAATTGTTTATAGTATTTTTGAAAGATTGATCAATCAATTGGGTGTTTCTGTGGATCTGAAGCCGTGGCTGCTCTCTGGGAAGGGGATAGATAATCAAGTTAATGCGCTTCTTTTCCTAGCTCCAAAGGCACTGTGACGGATATTTTTTTAATGGACTTTAGAAAACTTGTTTTCTCAATTGTAAATTAGTTTAAAATGCTGCTTCTCTTATCATTAGTCTAGTAAATGTTGGACTGTTTTCTGCAAATTGCATTTTACAAAATTTAAACTTCAAAACTGTATTAACTTTTATAGTTAAACATTGTATTAAATAAAGTATACTATAATAAACAATTCGGGATTGTATTTTTTGGTTTTTATTAAAAATTAAATGACAACCAATAAAATAAAAACCCAAAGTCATTTGTATTTTGAGAGAAACAGGTGTTTTGTTTTTTTTTTTTTTTTAAATTTCCGAGACAGGGTTTCTCTGTGTAGCTTTGGTGCCTGTCCTGGAACTTGTTCTGTAGACCAGGCTGGCCTCGAACTCAAGAGATCTGCCTGCCTCTGCCTCCCGAGTGCTGGGATTAAAGGTGTGCACCACCACCGCCACCACCAGGCACAAACAGGTAATTGACAAAACGGATCTTATAGTGAGTCCCTAAGAATTTCAGGGCTGTAAGATAGTGCAGTGTCGAGATGATTGCTGCCAAGCCTGGTGATTTTAGGTGAATCCCTGGGACCGCATGGTGCAAGGAGAGGACTGACGCTGCAGGTTGTCCTTCCAGCACGTGCACCGTGGCGCACATGGCCTTTCCCCAAACAAAAATGAGAAGAATGTCGTGAGCAGTGGTGATGCCACGTCGAAGAGTAGATTTTAGGTCAGACATTTAAGCATAGTGTTTCAGTTTGGTAACTTTTTTTTTTTTTTTTTTTTGGTTTTTCGAGACAGGGTTTCTCTGTGTAGCTTTGCGCCTTTTCCTGGAACTCACTTGGTAGCCCAGGCTGGCCTCGAACTCACAGAGATCCGCCTGGCTCTGCCTCCCGAGTGCTGGGATTAAAGGCTTTTAACTCAGCAAATTTTAAGACCAAATTTTGTGTTTGTATTACTATCCATTAAAATTTTACCATTTCCTTTTTAATTACTCCAAGTTCCCAGTGTTAGAAACCATACCATTTTTTCCTGTGTCTGGTTTTTGTTGTTGTGTGTGTAATGGCGGATTTTTGTTAGGGTTTTGTTTTTATTCCAGACTGGCCTCAAAGTCAATATGTAGCCAACAAATTAAAAGTGAGCTATCACAGCCAGTTTATATGATGCTAGGGGTTAACCCAGGGCTTCATACATGGTAGTAAATACTCCAATAGCTATGCCCCTCACCCACCTGTCAGTTTTAATGCTAGTCATAAAGCCGTTTATAGTTTTTTTGAGACAGTATCATCCCACAAGAGATCCACCTGGTGTGAACCAGTGCACACCCCTAAGAGCTATATTTTAAGATTTGTAAGACATATTTAGATTTTTTTTGGTTTAAATTTAGATAATGTTTAGGGAAAATGGTCACAAGAGCTAATCATTGGAAATACATCTTTTTAAATGTGTAAGTAAAAACAGTGTTCTGTGGTTTGTATTATGTTGATGGGCATACATTACCTTGCCTTTGCATTTCAGTGATTATACCATAATTCTCCTTATGCCAAAAGAAATACCTAGCAGCTATGCTTATACAGTAGTTCATAGAGCTAAAGTATCCTCAGAATGTTTTGAGATTTTGATAATTGGTTATCGCTCGGTAGCCCAGGCTGGCCTCCACTTTATGGGCAGTGCACGTATATGTATGCGTGTGTGCATGCCAGGTGTACCCGAGATCAGAGAATAGAAGTTGGTTCTCTTCCTCTGCCATGTGGATCCTGGGGTGCAAACTGTTGTCAGGCATGGTGACAAGCACCTTTACCTGCTAAGTCATCCTGTCAGCCCCTGACATGGCCTTTTCAATGATAGGCTCACAAGTCGGAGCTGCCAGAACCATCTTCCTTTCCTTCCTCACAATTCATTACTGAGATTTATTTTGTGCAGCTGTTGGTTATAGAACAATTTCTCAAGCCTTGGAATCAGATTGGACACAACTACCTCTTTGCTGAATTTTATTCTAGTAAATGTGGCTTTACAAAGATAGTCATCAAAAGGATATTCAACAAAAAACTACCATAAGCTAATTAACCTGTAGAATCTTGCATATATCAGATACTGTGTGTTTCCTTCAAGCTTTTAAAGATCTCGATTGGGGTGAGGTGGTGGTGCACACGTTTAGTCCCAGCACTCAAGAGGCAGAGGCAGGCTAATCTCTGAGTTCGAGGCCAGTCTGATCTACAGAGTGAGTTCCTGGGACAGCCAAGGCTACATGGAGAAACCCTGTCTCAAAAAACAAAAAATCCGCCGGGCGGTGGTGGCGCACGCCTTTAATCCCAGCACTCGGGAGGCAGAGGCAGGCGGATCTCTGTGAGTTCGAGGCCAGCCTGGTCTACAGCGCGAGATCCAGGAAAGGCGCAAAGCTACACAGAGAAACCCTGTCTCGAAAAACAAAAACAAACAAACAAAAAAAAATCCCATTTGTCCCTTTGAGTTCATTGTGGTCTCAGGACACCTTTGCACACAATTTAGGAATCTGCTGTCATGTTCTTTTTAAGTGCCAGTGCTTTGTTTTTTAAAGCAAGAGTTCAGTTTTTATTTTTATTTTATTTTGTAATAGGGTCTGGTCACAAATACCTCTGGATGTCCAGGAACTCTGGTCTCAAATAGCTCTGGGTGTCCAGGAACTCACTATGTAGACCAGACTTCAAACTCACAAAGGTCCCTCTGCCTCTGCCTCCCAAGTGCTGAGATTAAAGGTGTGTGCCACCATGCCTATCTGAGTTTGGGATAAACATCACAGTGATTCAAGGTGAATCTAGCCATACCATTTTTCAAAGTATAGGTGGCTATCTTCATCCACATACACAGAACTAGTCTTGAGTATGAGAGTCACTGCACTGTGCAGTCTGAGTGTTATGAAGTCCTGATACATGCACATTTCCTTATTTTTGCTTTACTGGTGAAGGAGATGTATAATTTTTCCCCTAGCAGATTTCGACATCAAATTTTGCTATAGGATTTGGAGAGTTGGCTCAGCAGTTAAGAGCACTGGCTGCTATGTTTGGTTGCTATCCACAGGAGGCCTGCCCTTTTCTGAAGAGAAATGGAGGAGCAGTGGATGAGGAGGGGGGGCACAGAGGGAAGGGGAGAACTGAACAACATCTAAGGTTCAAGTTTTGGCACACACATCACCACCACCAACAACAACAAAAATATAAAAAGGGTCATCAGGGTGGTGATGTCTGAATATAATCCTAGTGGTTGGGAGGCTGTGGGTTTGAGACTAACCTGAGCTACATAAGATCTTGTCTCAAGGGGCTGGAGGGATGGCACAGAGGTTAAGAGCACTGGCAGCTCTTCCAGAGGTACTGAGTTCAATTCCCAGCAACCACATGATGACTCACAACCATCTATAATGAGATCTGGTGCCCTCTTCTGGCATGTAGTCAGAATACTGTCTGCATAATAAATACCTATTTTTAAAAAATGTAAATAGCTGGGTGATGGTAGTGAACACCTTTAATCCCAGCACTCAGGGGCAAAGCCAGGCAGATCTCTGAATTCAAGGCCAGCCTGGTCTACAGAGTGAGTTCTAAGACAGGCTCCAAAGCTACATAGAGAAACCCTGTCTTGAACCCCCCCCCCCAAAATGATGATGATAATAATAAATCTTTAAAAATATATGTCTCAAGAAGAGAGAAAAGAAAGTCACACACACACATGCACACATGCAATAACAACCACGGTTGCAAGGCCCTGGGCTAAATCCTAGCACAAACTAATCACAGACACACAACCACACAGAATGTTTAGAAAAAAAATGTTAGTAAGAATATGGACCTTTAACAGAAATACAAAATGGTTCCTACGGCTTTAGAAAGCAGGGCAGCCGGGGCCTAGGCCACAGTTGTAATCCATGAGACAGAGAGTGTAGAGCTTGAGAACAGACTGGACTACATAGACACTGTCTCAAGAGAATGGGGGGGGGGGGGGAATCAAATACATACTGGGCTGAAAACATGGCTCAGTGGCTAAAAACACTTGCTGCTGTTGCAGAGGACCCAGGTTTGGATCCCAGCACCCACGCTGCCATCTGTAACTCCAGTTCCAGAGAATCCAACATCCTTTCCTGACCTTTGTGGGCACAAGTCATGCACATGGTGCATATACATACATGCAGGCAAAACATACACATGAAAATAAATAAGTACATACTGTAGCGTTCCACTTATATGAGGTATTTAGCCAGATTTGTAGGTGCAAACAATGGTTGTTCACAAGGTTGAGGAAAGGAGGAGATGGGGACTACTGTAGATGTAATTCTGAATGGTTTTATTAAATAAGAAACAGAGCCAAATGCAGAGTTAAAAGCCCAGGAGGTCAGAGCAGCAGCCAAGATCTAAGACCAAGACCGCCTTCTTACCCCTCACTGTCGTCCTTCCCCTCAGAAAGAGACCTACTTCCTGTGTGTCTGTCTTTTTATTGACTTTCTGTTCTGCCTTCTCATTGGTTGTAAACCCAACCACATGACCTCCTTGTCACTGCCTGTCTATACAGACCTCCAGGTCTCTAGGGTTGGTATTGAGATTAAAGGCATCTGTCTCCATACTAGTGGTGTCCTTGACCATACAGAGATCTGCCTGCCATGTGATCAGGATTAAGGGCGTGTGCTACCACTGCCAGACTTCTGCTAAATGGCTTGTTATTAGCTCTTACCCACAGGCAACTTTATTTATTAGCATACAAATAAAATCACATTTCAGCACAAATAAAATATCACCATAGAATACTTTAAGTGGGTATAGAGTTTTAGTTGTACAAAATATAAAAAGTCCACAAATTGCATGGCAATGTGTTGGAGCCCACTAGATTTCCTAGTAGCTGTACCCAGCAGGACTGCATGGGAGGTTGATTGGAACTTGGGCCTGGGTACCAGGTGCTTGTAAGGGTCTAACTAGCAAGGAGGGGGGGGGTCTATTGCTCCACCCCTTAGCATTGTTATAGACCTTTGGAATAAAGCTTTGGGCCCATTTGGATAAGGATCCAGGTCCACCCAAGTCTATCCTGTGTTTTCTGTTTTCTCTCCATTCTCTATCTCTAACTAAGTCTCTTATCCCTCATTCCTCAAGAGTTCCTGGGATAAATAAGTTTTGGGGCTGGTCCCCCACACCAATGTAAATATACTTAATACCTTTTTTAATGGGTAATTGAGGAAATATACTCA